GCTGCTCCGCATTGATGCTCCGCTCGCCGGCCGCGCTCCGGCCCCATCGCCGCCGTGCAGGTGAGCCCCCTCGCGGCCGGGCGGTGCCCCGGGATGGCCCCGGCCCCCCCAGCGCCAGAGCGGAGATGAATCCCGTCCTTGCCTCGGGGACGGGGGGACCCAGCCTGCGACGGCTCCTAGGGGCATGTGCGTGCGGGTTCACAGACTCCCCTCACCGCAGGCGGGTTAAGATTAACCCGCTTAAGACTGAAGAGAAGCCGGCCCCGTTGCTGCCGAGAGCCCGGGCGGGTAGGATGCGGAGCCCCGCCGTGGATGGTCAGTAAGGACATGGCGGGTTTAAGCCCTCGGGCAGGACTCCAGCCGAGCCGGCGGCTCGTGGGGGTGTGGGATGGCTGGCAGGAGGGGGGCTCACACAGGGCGGCTCACTCCGGCACCCCAGATTTGGAGCTCGTGGGGTGCCCTGGAGGGAGCCGGCTTGCTGACCGAGTGGATTAAAGGGGGCAGAAACTGCACCGCCGGTACAGGAGACTTTCGCCTCGTCTGTACGGAAAACCAGCCTGACACCGAGGCGGTGAAGGACACTGGTCCGGATTCCCCCCCGACGTTGGTGGCACGGGGAATCTCCCTGGTTATTTCTATGAATTAACGGTGTGGGCAGGTCTCTTGACCGGGCTGCTCTGGAGCGTGCTGCGCAGTGGTGGTCAGTGTTTTAATCCTCTTGTCCTTGTGCCCAAATCACAGTCCTGGGAAGGGTTCGTAGAGCAACCCGATTAGCTGTCCATACGCAAGTCTGCGTCCTTGCGTTATCCCCGGGGTACGCAGAGAAAAGGAAGGTGGCTCCCAGCCTTCAGCCTTTTTCTTCCAAAACAGAGAGTTGCATGTGGATGGTTATTGTTGGCTAGCTAATTAAAACACCTGGTGGCCATGCAACTGTCATTTAATTAAAGCTTTAACCTGCTGCCTGCCAGGATGTCTGCATAGAACAAGAGGGACAGGAAAAGGAGCTGGGCATGACTAAAAGTGCGCGGACACGATTGACAGCTTCACAATGAATTGTTTCTGACTTGTGGACGTTTCTGAGGCATGTGAAGAATGGGAGATGGCAACTCTGCTCCCATCTCTTCCTGCGCTCGTGCCAGCCAGTACAGAATTCGTTCCTGAATTTGCATTGCTTGCCCAAGCACAAAGGAGTTGCAGAAGGTTAACAACTGCCGCCTCTTTACCGGGGTTCACCTTCGCATTTAAAGGAAGCACTCTGGGTTGCAAAGGCATCGAGTCATATCCCGATCCCTTTCCCAGTCCATTGCAAAACATGCCCCAATCCCTGGTAACCAGTCTAGCTCCATACCATAGCATTTCCAGTCTGAGGATGACATTTTCAGATGTACCCACCTGGCTTAGGGCCTGATGATAGATAATATTTTCCCCCCTGTGGGATTTCAGGTGCTAAATCACCTGGGGCCACTTTTTCAAAGGCATTTGCAAGCTTGAAGGCACCGATTGTCATCTAGTGGGGTTGACCTTGCTGAGTGTATTTGACCCCGGCAGTCTTCCCTGCCCAGAGCAGAGGGGCTGGACACGATGGTCTCCTGAGGTCCCCTCCAGCCCTAAACCTCTGTGATCTGTGACACAAGTGCTTCAGCCTAGCCTGCTTAGATGCTACTGTAAATTCCCCCGTGCCGGCATCCCTAGGCACCTAAGGACCTCGTTCATCTGGCCCTTGGGTGCTTTGCAGGATTTCATCCTGAATTCTTGTTCCCATGAAGAATTGTTGCTCAGTAAGATCAAGGTTATACCTAGGTTATCAGATCCCATCTCTGGGCTTGGTATTTGGCTATGCAGTGCCTGGCAGGCCAGGGGCATCATAATAAATAGAAATGACTCGGTGCTTTCTCACATCCCGTAGCTCTGCTAGAATGGGCCGTTGTGGTGATCATGTTAAGGTCAGCGAAGGGACGCGAGTAGCTGGCCGGTGCCCTGTGCGATCAGGCTGGTCAGGTTCCAGTTTAAGAACAAGATGTGGCGCTCAGTGCGTGTGTTGGAAGGCAGTGCCCGTGTTGGTTCATGCTCGTTGTTTTCCTTTATTGCTTTGCTTTCCTCCTGCGCAACAGCTGCGACTGCTTCCTCCTCCTCCGACTGGAGGAAAACAGGTATTCTTAGAATACGTCTTCTCGGAGAGGCCGCGGAGACCAAACTTCCATCCGACTTTACACGCGGGTGGTTTGTCCAGGTCAGAGCTGAGGTTCGTTTTGCAAGGCTTTTTGGGGAAGCCTGCTCTTGCGGGTACCCGTGCTGGGAACGAACTTCCAAGCAATCCACCGTAGGCTCGAAGCTTGCAGAAATAGCCTGCAGGTGAGTAGCTGGCCTGAGCAGGTTGAAAGTCTGTCCTCACCCCTCCAAAAATAAAATCAAAAATCCTCAGGTCCACTTGGTCCCTGAAGAGTTTAATGGCAAAAAAGGACAGGCTAGGGTTGGCTCAGTGCCCACTGGCTTCCCCTCCTGTTCCTTCAAAAGGTCAGGTATTTCCAGCAGACTGTGCATCTATCAAGCTGATGGCTAGGGCCTGGGTGAGAGCCTGCCCCATGGGGAGAAAGTTTAGTGAAGGCATCTGTAGTCAGGGTGAAGAGGGCAGGCTCCAGGAGCAGGTCAGGGGTGGTAAGGTGTCTGGGATGCAGAAAGGACCACTACTGATTGCCTGGGCTGATCTGCACATTTCGGAGATTTGTCCCATTCCCTTCAGTTAACAGAGCTTCACTCAGCATCACGAAGCTGTTGGGGTGCTCATGGGGAGGGGAAAGAGCATAATGCTCAGCCAGTAGCCAAAGGCTCCAGCTGGGCTTTAGTTTAGGGAATGGGGCTTATGGTTCTCCACTCCTGAGCGGATCCGTGGAGGGTTCCTCATTATTACAGAGCTGCAGTTCCTTTTTACAAATGGATCCTCATTAGAGATTTGATCCCTAGGAGCCAGGGGCAGGGAAGAGGTGAGCAAAGCAGATTCAGAGACTTTGGCTGAGTTTCTAGGCTTCATGCTTGTCCGTTCATGTCTTTGTGCCTGGGATCAAAAGCCAGATGATTTTTTGTTTCATTTCCTCTACTTTTACGCCTGTTGTTTTCTTTGGTTGGTGTCAAAGCTGATGACGGGTGCTCCCGGAGGGGTTGCACACAGCATCCTGCTCCTTCCCCCACTTTGCAGCATGTTACATGGCCCCTCTTGCCTGGAGTTCTTCTTGGAGGGGCCCAGTGTCATCCACGCTGCAAAGCATGAATCTCACAGATAGAGGAGGGATGACTCAGGATCTGGAGCAACTGGCTGTTTACTCCCTCTCTCTGATTGTAGTTTCATCTTGCTTTCCAAGACCGGCACTTCTGTAGGCTCAGAGCTAGGTCCTTCTCTGCCTCTCGATTTCGTTCGCTACTGAAATCGTGTAGAATTAACCTCTGCCTTGTCCCCAGGATTGTCTGCTCCCAGCGTTGCCCCTGCAGACTGCTCAGCCCGTGCCCTGGCTCTTTATTTTCTCTCTCCATTGCAACCCTACACATTCCTTGCATCCTGTAGGGGTAAAAGGCTTTTATAGCCACGATCAGCAAAACCCCCTTCACCCTCGTTTGCACAGTCAGCTTCTCGGTTCATGTGGTTTGCTGGATGGCGTGCTGATTACCTCCGTGTCAGCAAGTGGATCGTGGCCGTGTATTCCCATGGTAATACTGAGGGTAACTCCCAAGCTAGGCTGACAAGCTGTTTGATTTGGGCAGAAATGTGCATTTCCTCCTTGTTGCAAGTTGTGGCTGCTCTTTCTGTGCGTGGCATCTATCTAAAATGTGCAACCTTGTCATATTCTGTGTCTGGTAATATCTGACATTATCCAAACAACTTGCCCTGGTGTCTCTAGAAGCAGTGAGGCCTGCCATGCACACAGATGGCATCTGGAGGCCTTCCTCTTAGGCTCAGAAATGTTCAGCAGATGAGGCAGGCTCTATTGCTGGAAGGACATTTCAAGAGCCTCCTGTCAAACGATCTGCCCGTTCCAGGGGGCAAAGCCTTTTTAGTGATGATGCAGTAATGGCATCGTTGGAGCATGACTGGAAACCCACGCTGCAGATGGCATTAGCTAAATAAGCGCTTGATCCAAACAGCAGGGAAGTAAACGGGGAATTCTCCTTGACCTGAAAACTGGTTGGAAAATGCCCTGGGGTATATTCGTGTGACTCTGGAAAGAGAACATGCTCTTGGATGTGTCTGTGGATACAGGCCAGTCTGTCCGGCAAGAGACTGGCCACAGAGAACAAAACCGAGGAGTAGCAGCTCCCCATCCGCTCTCTAAACAGGAGAGATGGTGTTTTGAGCTGGAGTTATTCCAGCTGAGGGTCAATCTTTGATTCAGAGACCTATCCCTCTGTTTAATTGGAAGGATTGTCCTTTTAACACCGGAGGCATATGCAGACTGCCTATCCCTCCCAGCCACTTGAAAAGACAAGCTTTTCCTATTTGAGCTGGAGACGCTGATTGTTTCTTCCTCCCGAGAGAAAGGATGAGGTTCTTTAGTGAATACAGGCTAGTGGAGTAAAGCGACAGCAAGTCTTCC